TGCAAATATAGAGTGCACTGCAACTTGCATTTTGATGCATGTCTATTGATATTAGTGGAAAACACATCAGGCAAAAAAGTATGAGCTTTTATCAGGTTTATATTAATGTGTTTCCCTAAAATAAAATCCTGATCGAAATTTTAACTCTTCCCTGCACTATCCAAGATGAAAATAAAAATTGTAGCTGTAGATGGGCTTTAATGCTTTCCTAAGGATATCCTTGAACAGTTTTTATGCTAAATAATTTATACCAAAATCCTCATATTTATATATTAATGATTTTAGAAGTACATTTTATGCAAGTGCCTATATTGTGTTTACATGTATATAGTATATTTATTGAATTAATGTGTTATAAACTGTATTTTTCAAATGTGCCTTATGAAGTGTATGCCAAAATAGAATAAATACAGTTGATTTACACAATGTGTTACCATGAGAAGGTCTCATTTGGAAACATTCTGCGTCATTAGATAACGTACATAGAGAGGTGGTATGCAGTAATGTCAACTCATCAAAAAGTCAGCTTTAGTCTAGGTTCACTCCTATGTAGGTTGCGTTTGATGCGTTTCTGCATTGCGTTTTTGAGGCTTTATTTTTTTTTTTCATTTTTCTTATTGCTAGGCAGATTTTAAACTCAAAACACATCAAAAACGCAATACATGCTTTGCTGCAGGTTTCCCATTGAAGTCTACAAAACCAAAAATGCAACGTTTTGTGGTCAAAAAAGTTCCTGACCCTTTCCAAAATACATACTGGGTGAAGACACAGAGATGTGAATCTAACCCATAGGAAATCATGTTAAATTGACTGGACTGCGTTTCTGCAAAACTGCAGAAAACGCTTAGGTGTGAACCTGGGGTAAAGCAACATAAATTCAGCACACTAATGAAAACCAATATCCATCTGGTTCAGTGCAATATGCCAATTAAAGACCGCCATCATGTCAAATATTGTATTTCAATAACTGTGGTTAACCACTTCCATATTGGGCACTTTTACCCCCTTCCTGCCCAGGCCAATTTTCAGCGCTTTCACACTTTGAATGACAATTGCGCGATCATGCAACACTGTACCCAAACTAAAATTTATTCATTTTCTTCACATAACTAGAGCTTTCTTTTGGTGGTATTTAATCAACACTGGGGTTTTTATTTTTTGCTAAATTAACAAAAAAAAAGACCGAAAATTTTGGGAAAAAAAAAAAAACACGTTTTTCTTTGTTTCTGTTATAAAAGTTTGCAAATAAATAATTGTTCTTCATAAATTTAGGCCAAGATGTATTCTGCTACATGTCTTTGGTGAAAATAACTAATAAAATAATAAATATTAGTCTGTAGGAAAGTCCACAAACTATGGGATATATCTGAAGATTGATCAATCCTGAAGTACTGACGGCCAATCTAATTTCTTGAGGTCCAAGAATGTCAGAACAGTACAGATATCCTCCAAATGACCCCTTTTTGTAAAGTAGACAGTTCGACGTATTTCATAAGAGGCATGGCGAGTTTTTTGAAGTTGTAATTTTTTTGTCATAATTTTTTGGAAAATTAAAAAAGATTTACTATTTTTTTTACATACTGTCACCAGTGCAGTACAGTGTCATCATATAACTGGTGTGGCGGTGATCAGGGACAGACTGGTGACAGTACAAAAAAAAAAAAAATAATTTGTTTTTCATTTTTTTTCTCTTTTTTTAAACACAATTTGCTTATAGCAAACAAATACTTTGCTATCAGCAAGCATTTACCTGAATGAAATCGATTCATTCAGGGTTTTTGTTTTTTTTTTGCGATTAGGCCACAGCTAATCACATGACACAGCTGGCCTGTGATGGGCCCAGCTTGTGCATGTGATCGCTGTGACCAGCTAGACACACTTGTATACAATGGATGGCATGAAAGGAAGCCATCCATTGTATACAACTGTCATGTGACCTGCTGTGATTGGTCACAGCAGGTCACATGGTACAACAGGCCGGTACACAGATCTGTCATCGGCGGTGTCCGAGGTACACGGCCGATGACAGATTGTACCACAGTGTGGCCCTGCAGGCATGCGCAATAGCATCCACCCGGAGGGACGAGGTGTTTGCCAGGCCGCCATCTGGCTATAGGCCGGGCGGCAACTAGTTAAAGAGTATCTAAATCTACAAAATGTTGTCTGCAGTGATGTCCAGGTGGTCCAGCTACAACCTTAATGCTCCTGCAGTAAATCAGGTATAACACCATTGGTCAAAGCTGTGCAACTGAGGCGTGGGGGGTGATTATGCTAGTACATACATTGTAAAGTGAATAGCTTCTTTGTGTCTATTGCCATCCTTACCAATCTCAATCAGAGGCATGGGGTAAAGATGCTACTCTACTATTCTGCCTTAATTTGTCTCTGCCCATAATCCCTGGCTGCACCTTCCCATGCCAGTAATCCATTTGCTGTCTTTACCTTCCCATGCTAATAACTCCCTTGCTGTCTGCACTTTGCTGTGCTGACAATACCCTCACTGTTACATAGTCTGGCTGAAAAAAAAAGACAAAATTCCATCCAGTTCAACCATTTAAAAAAAAAAAAAAAAAAAAAAAGTTATAGTCCTTTACCCACGGCTGATCCAGAGGAAGACAAGAAAAAACCCCAGCAAAGCATGATCCAATTTGCTCCTGCAGGGAAAAAAAAAATTCTTCCTGATCCCCAAAGAGGCAAGCGGATATTCCCTGGATCAACTTTACCTATAAATGTTAGTATCAAGTTATATTCTGTGTATCTGAGAATCAATCCAGGCCTTTTTAAAGCAATCCACTGAGCTGGCCAGAACCAACTCTTGAGGGAATCTATTCCACATTTTCACAGCTCTTACTGTGAAGAAACCTTTCCATGTTTGGAGAATAAATTTCTTTTCCTCCAGATGTAAAGAGTGCCCCCTCTGTGATGACCACAGGGTGAATAGCTCTACACAGAGTTCACTATATGAACCACTGATGTATTTATACATGTTGATCATATCCCCCTTTAATCTCCTCTTCTCAAGAGAGAATAAATTCAGTTCCTCTAATCTTTCCTCATAGCTGAGCTCCTCCATGCCTCTTATCAGTTTGGTTGCCCTTCTCTGCACTTTCTCCAGTTCCCCAATGTTCTGTTTGTGAATTGGTGTCCAAAACTGAACTGCATATTCCAGATGAGGTCTTACTAATGATTTGTACCGGGGTAATATGATCTCTCTCTCTCTGGAGTCTATACCTCTAAATACAAGAGAGGATTTTGCTCGCTTTAGAAACTGCAGCTTGGCATTGCATGCCATTATTAAGCTTGTGATCTACCAGAACTCCCAGATCCTTCTCCACCATTGATTCCCCCAGCTGTACCCCCCCTAGTATGTATGATGCATGCATATTCTTAGTTCCCAAGTGCATAACCTTACATTTATCAACATTAAACCTCATTTGCCACAGTTGCCCAATTATACAGTGCATTGAGGTCGGCTTGTAAATTGGAGTCATCCTGTAAGGACGTTATTCCACTGCACAGCTTGGTGTCATCTGCAAAGACTGAAATGGGATTTTTAATCTCAGACCCTATATCGTTTATAAATATATTAAAAGTAAGAGTCCCAACACTGAACCCTGGGGTACACCACTGACTACCCTAGACCATTCACAGTATCAATCATTAACCGCTACTCTCTGAATACGATCTTGCAGTGAACACACTGCAAAATATATTCCCATGGGCAACAAGTTTAAAAAGCTAAAAATCAAACCTGTGTGGCTTACGGCCAAAGTTAAAAAAGCTATAGATAATAAGAAAAGAGCTTTTATTAAGTATAAAAATGAAGGAATGCTATCATCGTTTAAACATCACTGTATGCACCTTTGTATGCCAGTAACCCCCTTGCTGTCTGCATCTTCCTGTGCCGATTACCCACTTGCCATATGCATCTTCCCGAGTTGACAACGCCATTGCTGTCTGTATCTTCACACGTTGGTAACCCCCTTGATGTTTGCTTCTTACCTTGCTGGTAACCCCTGTATGCCTTCCTGTACCAATAATCTCCCTTTCTGCCTGCACCTCCCTGTGCCATTTTTCCTCTTGCAGTATAAGCCTTTCTGTGCCTGTAACCCCCAACCCACCTCCTGTCACGCATTTCTATGGCACTAACCCCCTTGCTGTCTGTGCCCTCCTGGCCCAATAACCCCTTGCCTTAATTTCTTGCCCTGGTGTCACAGGAATTAAAAAAAAAAAAAATCCCTTGCAATCAAAATCACAGAAAGCATGTAAAACCAGACGAGCTGTGTTCATAATTCTGAAAAAAAGCAAATGCAAACAAACTGTACCCCACAATGATTACTAGTTAATGGACATGTAAGCAGGTGCACAGCCTCCTGTGGGTACTATGTAAATCTAACAAGTCATGAAAGCCAGCAATTTGATGGTAACATCCAGAGAATATACTGAAATTCCATATCAAATTTAACATTTCAGAGAGATTTGTCACCTTGATAAAGGGGACCTCTGTCTCCAACATGTTGGATAGCCGTGACCTTCATTACTTGTTTGCAGTTAAAACCTGGCAGCCTAACCCTTCCATACTATATCAAAAGCACTGGTCCAGGCACTTCAATTTAACGATCCAGCAGCCAAGAGCAGTAAGATTCTGTTGCCAGGTGCATGGGCCCATGGTAGCCAATCACATTTCACCCTTCAGCAACTCGGAACAGTTAAAGTAACAAAGATTGCTGATTGGTTAATGAGGGGGTTTGACATCAGTCTATACTTTAAAAAGTAAACCCTTATATCTTTGCTCAGTTGCCAAATAATGGATAAAAAGGATCATCTGTATACAGAAAATCACTTGTTCCCTCTTTAGGCTGGAAAGTCAGAACAGACCGATTTCTGGAAATAAACTCAGTGACTAAGCACCTGATCATTTTTGTGTTTTATTGCAACGGTGATGCAATTTGGGTACTGTACAGGGTTAGGAAACAAGTACATTGTGAAGGGAAAGGGTGTCAGTCCAGGAATCCGAGGTCTATGGTTTCTGGTAGCTGTGGGTGGAGAATTCGTGTAGCCAGACGCTCAATGTCATCCAGGCTGAGAAGTGACAGGCTGCGTTCATAGTCCTGAGGAAGAGCAAATAAAGGGGATATTTTTACATAAAAGAAAGCAACATACACATTATGTGTGCAGCAAATGTAGCAGTTAGAGGGTTCAGAAAAAAAACATTTAACACTTTCAGGGGTGCTTACAATGGTCAGCTTTAGTTCATTTATGTCAAAACCTTTATCCAAACAGAATATTTGTTGGTGTAACTACTTAAAAAGCGTTAGCTAGAGTTAAGCCAGCCATACATGGATCAAAATTCGATCCATGTATGGGCAGACTGATTGACTTGGGTACAACCAGCCTTTTTTTTTTTTTTTTTACATACGATTACTGCAGGCGGCTTTAGCTGCTAGTAGTAATCATTGCATTCTGCTAACAGGGAAGGCTCCCCAAACCCCCTCCTTTTTCCTGCTGGCAGAACACAATAGTGCAGGCATCCTGGTTAGGATGGATTTATGGAAGAGCAGTGTAGCCACCCTTAGACAGCAGTGTTGTCAGCCTGTGGATGGTAGTGTTGGACTATTAGATTTACTGTAGATCTGACTTTACATACGTGAACGACAAACTGAAGCGTAAGGTTGCCCATAAATCAAGTGATTTTCTGTCCTTCCATCCGTGGCGGAGGGACAGAAAATCAAATCATCTACAGGCTGCGTTAGGCTTCAGTTTGTAGTTCATGTATGTAAAGTACGTAAAAACACTTGGGCAGTGAAACTAGCAGGATCAACAGGTTAAAAAAAAAAGGGAAACAAGACAAAAACTTGCCTCATTAAAGCTGATCTCCGAGTTTTAGTGCGCTCTACATAATTCATTTGGAAAACGCTAGTCCAAATAAACTGTTTTATTTCTTTAACACATGCAGTGGCTGTGTTTGCACCGTATTTACCGGCATATAAGCTGACTGGGTGTATAAGACGACCCCCTAATTTTCCAGTTAAAACATTTTTAGGCTATACTCGCCGTATAAGACTACCCCCCTTCCGAGGCAACACCAATTTAAAAACATCAGATTTGATTTAAATAATTTTAATTAAAATGGTTATGACTTACCGGTATTTACAATCCCTCAAAATCCACATCATGTTCATCCTCTGACATCAGAAGTTCATCAATGACATCTTGTGATACATTACAACTTTCAGTTTGAAACTGGCTTCATATTTCCTGGCTTCCTGTATGTATGGTAGCTTCGGCTACATAGAGTATACCGCGCTGAGCCAATCACGGCACGCTATGTATTCTATTAATGAATACAAAGCCTGCTCGGATTGGCTGAGTCAGAGAAGCAGGCTGATGATGTCACAAGCTCTGCCAATCCGAACAGGCTTTGTATTCATTAATAGAATGCATCACTCGCCGTAATTGACTCAGCGCAATATACTGTATGTAGCCGAAGCTACCGTATATACAGTATTACCGCACATCCAGCGGCCTGACAGATTAAAGACGTTCGTTCTGAGCCAGCCTGGCCCAAACTAACTAAAGGTTCACAATGTATACCCTGTGTATAAGACGACCCCCGACTTTTGGGGTATGGTTTTAAGTATAAAAAGTTGTCTTATTCGCTGGCAAATACGGTATCCTCAGCTACATGCTACAGTATTGTGTTCCAGTTGCAGGAAAGGAACTTCCAATCCTGCTTCCACAACAAAATGGAGTTTGAACGCTGCTCAGTCCGTCTCAATTTTATTCCAGTAGTGGGGAGGAAGTTCCGGTCCCGGCTAAATGCAATTTATACAGCGCACACGGCCACTGCATCTGCTAGTGAAGTAAACAGATTGTTTGGACCAGCAAACAAACGAACTTTAAATGAAACAGAGACAGACTTTAAAGGTGAAGAGCTTTCCATTGAACTACTTTATTTGCCTTTCCATACCCTTTGAGTTGGCTCCTTACCTTCTGCACATACTCCAGAATTCTTTCTGCATCAGAGGGACTAAAATGTCTCCCTAGAATGACAGCTAGCGATTTCCATACTGCGTTTCCTCCCGCCTCTGGGGACGCTCGTTCTTTCACCATCAGGTTGAGCCTGGCGTCAGGTCCAATGGAATAAAAGGAAAGGCTATGTTCATCTGAACAGGAATAAAAAAAAAAACCTCTTCATTAGAACAGTGCTGTGAATGCAGATAAGAACAGCAGTAAAAGAAGTTGCTCCTGGATCATGAAACTACTACTCCGTTAACTTCCCTTTTTGCAAGGTTGGTTTGGGGTTACATTTTAACTTTTACTGTTTGAGTTTACATATAGTTACATATAGTTAGTCTGGCTGAAAAAAGTCAAAAGTCCATCCAGTTCAACCATAGAAATAGTTTAATTTATTTTAAACTGATGTTATATACCGGTTTTTCTACCACATAGCCAATATTTGTTTAAAAATAAACATGTAAAGCCCAACTCCAGCTAAAACCCTTACATATACCCATTGAGGTGACCAGCTTCAGGTGATACACAGAGATCAAACAAATCCTCCTACATAAATTGTATCTGTTTATCTGACATCCCACACTACACTGCATGGGAGGAGAGCTCAGTGTTATCAGAGTGGAGGGAACAGACACCCCCCTCTACAATCACTCAGAGAAACATGCACAGCTGAGGCTGTCAACCACCTGCTGTGTGCTGGAGGGGGGCCAAACCATCTCCAAAAATTGCTTACAGTTGGACTGTCAGAAGAGATTTATGCAGATGGGAGGAAAGGTCAGATATGAACCAAACTAGATGCTTTGGATTAAGGCTATTACACACTATAGAGGAATATGCTTTGTTCATTTTTCCTTTCAGATGTTTACTACCACTTTAAAAATTAAATAATGCAAGCATTGTTAAAAACAGCTATGGCTGCATTACACCCTCCTCTCCAACATGGTCTCTCATAAACTGCAGTCCACCATCAGTCCTCTTGTGGGATGAATGATACCTGTGTGACTTTGACTTTTTATGATCCCCAGGCCTCAGGACCCACCCCAGAGGGCCGTTATTAAGCAGCCCTGGAATAACAGGAGAACGCTGCAGAGCATTTTGCTAATGCCATTATGTAAGGAACAATTTCTGCAGTATTTAGGACTTCTCATCGCCAGAGAGAACCAAAAATAAGGAGAAAGGGAAACATCACCTGATCAGACAACAGCAGAAAAGTGGTAAGAGTACTATACAAAAAAGGTGGTGGGGGGGGGGGGGGGGAGAAATGGAACACTTCTCTGACTCATTCCCTTGTGTGTAAAATCCATCTATGGCTACTGAGCTCTGTAAACAGGGTTTTTACAGCAGATGGTAAGAAGACAAAGGAAACTGTCAAAAGGTGCCTGGAGCTCCATAAGCTGAATGGACAGAAGATTTATAATAAACATATCAAATACAAATATTTACTGGACATGGTCTATACTTACCTTCCCTTTGGTCCCCAGCCATTTGGTTTGCCTTCTGCAGTGAAGAGATATACCTTGTGCATCAGTGTATAGGGGAACATGCGATTCTCTTTTACCTACCATCATGCAGTGCTGGGTGCTCAAGCCAAATGATATCAAGTAATAAGGGTCATTAACCCTGTGTAAGCTCTTCTAGATAACCTTGGAACTTACATAGGATTTCTCTCCTCTCCCGCAACCACAGGGTGGTGGGAGAATGAAGGTAAGAGGAGCAGAAGCAGTTGGGAGGCATACTTAACATGATCCTTGTTCCTGCTTCACTTCTTAAAAGTGTATAAATTGCAAAATCTTGTGTTAATTTATAATAAAGTGAGGAAGGGTTAGAACCTGTGCACTGTATTTGTTTTGGTAACTAACGTCATCCTGAAAGAAAGGAATAAAAAAAAAAACCCCCAAATTTTACAGCTGTCACCAGAAAAAGGTGGAGTGCTTCCAAGTGCATTTCCAAAAAATGGGTCAGGTCCAGTTTGAAATGTGCTGAGGTGCGACAACAGCCCATTCAAAATAAATGGGCTGTTTTAACACCAACGTTAAAGCAACATAAATGCGGTAAAGCACGTGTGAAACTGGCCTAAACGTGTACCTGTTCTTTAAAGGCCAACCTTAACATTGTGCTTTTAAAATTAAAATCCAAGTCCCTTTGTGCAATCCTTTTGGTTAAACATTTATGTTCTTCTCACATGGTACATTTTGGCTCCTCTTCATATCATACCTGTGTGCCGCAGCTTCAGTCAATTTCTATTGGTAATCTGTACTGCAACCCTAACACCCCGGTCACATCGGGTACGACTTGGCATGCAATTTGCAAATCGTATGCCAAGTCGCACCCTATTGTCCACAATTACAACGGTCAAATTTTTTGCGCTTCCAACTTGGTCAGAGCTGCACCGATTTCTAAAGTAGTACAAATCACACCTGAAATCGGCATGTCCCCCAACTTTGAAATTGTGCGACTTCACTGTAAGACGCACGATTTCAAAGTCGGGCTTGATGTGACCGGGGTGTAAGGCTGCAAGAGTACAGCTAATCCATAGAAATGAATGGGGCCAAAGTATGCATGTGTATTATGACGAGGAGCCAGCCAGGACCATGTAAGAGGAAGGATCACTGGACCGAGGAGGAAAGTATTGTCCTAGGTAGACTGCACTTGTGGGGGACAACTTCACTAAAGGTTTCCTTTAAAGCAGAACTAAATACTATACTTACCTCTGCTTCAGCAATGCAACATCTGCAAACTCACTCACTGACTCCAACATCTTCCTATGAGTTTGGCATCTTCAGCTATTTTAAAGGATAAGTAGACTTGTAGGAAAAGGAAAGATAACCGCACTCTAAAAGGATAAGTTCACTCTTTAAAAAATGAATATCCCTCTTTTGCAGGTAAAAAATGTGCACTATTGTTTTTTTTTTTTTCTGGAGCCTGGAAAGCATTGCACCAGCGATCAGCAGATCACTGGTGCCATGCAGGACTCCTGCAAACTGTCAGTGTATCTGTGTGCCCCTAAATCCTGAACAAGCAAGCAGATACAGTCTGACATGAAGACTCAATGAACTACCATAGAGCAACAGTGCCATGGTAGTTAATTGAAAACTACAAGCCAACAGCCGCAAAGGCTGTCGAGAGTTGTAGTATATTCTATCACAGGGCCATGCAGTTTACAAAAAAGTGACAGCTAGTACTGGGAACTTCTCCCTGTACTGCTGTCACAGGGATGGGGGTGGATCGGGCAACAGCTGCACCAGTGTAAATATGTTACATGTTCCACCCTAAAAACGGGTCAAACGTAACAGGTTCCCAAAGGTGAACTTATCCTTTAACTTGCCAGAGACATTAACACATTTCACACTAAAGAGCGCTTAATCATTTGTTATGATGAATCACTTTTTTTAGTGTGAAATGTGTTAATGTCTGTGCCTGTCTTGGTGGAGCTGTGATCATGCTTTTATGACGGATTTCTACAATAAAGTTTTTGGATCCCTGGCACGTTCACCGTTTTAAAAAAAAATAATACATACACATTAAATGCAGGTTAAAAAAAATGTGCATTTATTATTATATTTTTTTTTCATTAGGAGCAGGGCTTTTTATCAGCTGGAACTTGATGGAACTCAGTTTCACTACCTCTGGCTCAGGCCCTCTGCTCCCTACTCACCACTCTCACTTGTAATACACAGAAGTCACAAGTGACAGCTTGTCTCCCTACAGCTCCCACAGATCTGACCTCCTGAGTGCAAGGTGGGAACAAGGGAGATGCAGGTGTCTGGGGTGCATTTCAGATGCTGACACCCCTGCTGGATGATCTCCTTGAAAGTGAGAGAGGCGGTGCCACCTACAGTGTGCGGGGAGGTACTACAGTCAGCTGGGTGCTTAAGCTTAACACAGCAACAAAAGTAAGACATGTGGAAGATGGTGGAGCTTTTAAGGAGGGGGGGTGGGGGTGGTTGCATGCAGAGGTCAGAGCAGAAAAGGAGTGAAATTGAGATGTGGATGGGGGATGCAGAGGTAAGCAGCTGTGGAAGAAGGCTGAAATCTGCACTCTGTGTGTAGCGTACTCCAGAACTCTGCATGTAGCGCACCCCCGAACTCTGCACTCTGTGTGAGGTGCACATAATGCACCTCTGAACTCTATGTGTAGCACACCCCTGAACTGCACATAACGCACCCCTGAAACTCTACACTCTGTGTGTAGCGCACCCTCAAACTCTGCACATAGCGCACCTCCAAACTCTACGCGTAGCGCACCCCCGATCTCTGCACTCTGTGTGAGGTGCACCCCCGAACTCTGCACCTCTGAACTCTGCGTGTAGCGCCCCCCGAACTCTGCACGTAGTGCACCCTCAAACTCTGCACATAGCGCACCTCTGAACTCTGCGTGTAGCGTACTTCCAAACTCTACGCGTAGCGCACCCCCGATCTCTGCACTCTGTGTGAGGTGCACCCCCGAACTCTGCACATAATGCACCTCTGAACTCTGCGTGTAGCGCACCCCCGAACTCTGCATGTAGTGCACTTGAACTCTGCACTCTGTGTGTTGCGCACCCCGAACTCTGCATGTAGCATATCCCTGAACTCTGCATTGTGTGTAGCGCACCCCGAACTTTGTACTCTGTAACCCCCCCCAAACTCTGCATTCTGTACGTAATGACTCTTGGTATTTAATGCCCTTTTAAGACCCTCCCACTTTTAGTGAAATGTAAACACACCGACTACTTGATGAGGTTTGGAGAACGTGTGTGGGGAGGGGGTTTTTTTGGGGGTTGTGTTTGAGTTCCTGCATCTATTTTCTAAGGAAAAAAGCCCCTGATTAGGAGCCGCTAAAGCATGGCTCCTGCAGACAGTCAGTGTAGCTGTCTGCTTGTACCTCGCACAGGCAGGCAGATACTGAATGACAGGAAGAATCAATCACCTACATAGAGTGCTCATCAGCACCCTGGTAGTTCATTAAGAACCACATGCTGTCAGGAACAGGAAGGTAAGAAGTATTTATTGTAGAAAAGGCATGACATGCACCTTCCTGCTCCCAATTTTTTTTTTTTTGTAACAAAGTTCAACTTTTAGCCATGTAAAACAGATGGAGGAACTATTCCAGGAAGTTTCATGAGGATGTCTGATTTGTTCCAAACGGTTCACTTACAACATTTTAACAAGCTACACTGTACCTGAGAGGGCTTTGCCTCTGAACAGCAGCCTCTGCTGGGACACTGGTACCTGTAACTTCTCTTCTACCAGTCTTTTCACTGTGAGGATGGTGTCATTTTCAGAGACCTGGAAAACCAATAGAGAAACCAGTAGATGTAATCATGGTACAATTCTGGTATAGTCTGCAGACCGAGCACATCACTGGTCTTTTCAGTTCTTAGTACTGCTGAGATCAGGCAATGTTACTGAGCCGCTCAGCTGCTGATACTTACTATGCCCCTGTTCTCTTGGACCCTGTTTGCCCACACAAGGCCAAGGATACAGCAAGTACTCCTAGGAATGGGGGGACCGTGTGAGTCAATTCCCTTGCTTTCATGATACAATTTGCCTGATTGGCCAGACTCAACCATTATCACAGTAGTATGTGGAGGACTCTTGTCCCTGTGTAAGCTCCAACTAGGGACTTAAAGCAGAACTAAGTCAGTAAATACTCACCTTCACTTCTGTGATGCAACATCCATGAACTCCCTCACCAGCGCTGCATGTGAGCAGAGGAAACGTAGTATGTCCCATGTAGTATAAAAAAAAAAATACAAAAAAAAATCCTGCTTATAGTTTTAAAAGCAGTTCCACTTTAAGTCAGGCTTTTCTGAGGGCTGCAGTTGATAAATGGGGCAGCAGGGAGTAAGTGGAAGGTCATTGTCAGCTATACAGGGGCAGGGGTCATGCTCAGTCTGAACTTACCTTTGTGATCACGCAAGAAAGCGGTTTTGTGTACTGGGCCAGTCATAAGCAGCGGGGGCAATTGCCAACCACAGCCATATGTATACATGTCCCTCATATACACAGGGCTGCAGGGCAGGGGATGTCTTGGCCACAGATGATTAGCTCGGCCTTTCTGGCAGGATCACTGAGGTTCAGACCAAGATCTCAACATGCCCAAGCGCATACCTTGTATATGTGTGGCTGAGAGGCGGGGCAAGCCTCCACCACCTGTGATTGGCTGACAGCTGTGACAGTTTGCTGGTGGGATTATTCAGGTAGATTCAGAGTCAAACATGTCTGAGCTCAGCGGCAAGTCCGAACCTACCCGAGCGATCCCACCACGAAGCTATCAAAGTGGACATCTAATCATAGGTGGTGGAAATTTGCCCCTCCCCTCAGACACATGTATACAAGCATCTGGGCAGGGCATACCTCTACTACCTGTGATTGGCTGTGTGCATTCACTGCTTCCTTGTGGGATAGGTCAGGTAGGTGCAGACTCATCCCTGAGCTCAGACATGTTTGGACATGAGTCTGAATCTACCTGAGCAATCCCACCAGGAAGCTGTCAAAGCCATCAGCCAATCATAGGTGGTGGAGGAGGCAAACTCACCCCTCAGCTGCAGCTATACATGGAGTGTGCTTGGGCTTGCTGAGATCCTGATCCGACCTTACCTGATTGATCCTGCCAGAAACCAGTCACTGTAAAGAACCATTCATATGTCACTGAGGCATGCATTGCCCTGCAGCCACATGTATGTGTGCCCCTTGTATACCTGTGGCTGAGGGGCGGGGCAAGCCTTCCCCACCCATGATTGGCTGTCTACTTTGAAAGCTTCCCAGTGGGATCTCTCAGGTGGGTTCATACACTTCTCTAAACACACCTGAGCTAATCCCTGGTCCTGAGCAGGACTGACCATGCTGCAGGGCAAACCCATAGGAGGCTGTCACATGATCACATCCCTGTTAGCCCAATCAGCAGCACCCAGGGCATTCCCTGCTTTGCAGCTGGGTGTATACGAAGGGGCAGGGATGCTTGTGACAACGTGGACCCAACGTGCCTGCCACCATGGACCCAACACGTGTGACTCCACAGACCCAACATTTGTGACACCATGGACCTAACACCTGTGTGACACCTGTTACAGAAATAATTATCAACATTCTCCCTCAAGAAATCTATGAAGGTAAATTAATTCCACTTTTTCAGACTGTCGGAATATTGTATGAGTTTGGTCTTATGATGGACAGATTATACAAGTGAAAGCCAGCATGTGTAATGTACTCGGTGTAGTCAGGGTTGGAGGTGCCGGGCTGTCTGGGGTGGGCTCCCAGGCTTGACTGGGGGCCTGGTGTTGATTAGCTTACTGTTAATGAGATCACTGTTAGTTGTACTGTTACCGTTTGCACTGTTTAGGAGAATGTGATCAAGCTCTTACCTAATCAGTGTGGGAAGTTTAACCCAATGTGTAACGTTTGTTTTTATTGTTCATATGGGGACTGCCCCTATATCTGAGCATATAAAAATCTGTATTTCTGTTTAATAAAGAGTTCCAGTGCACCTAAGCTAGTGTTGCCTCATCTTGGGTGCGATGCCCGGCTACAATACCTTGGTTCTGTGTCCCAGCGGTGAGGAAGAAGGTCTCTGACAGAATCACCCAATCAGAGTGATAGGCGGTCCGTCACAACACTGTTGAACTAACACCTGTGCGAGGCCGTGGCCCTAATATGTGTGACAGCAAGGACCTAACATCTGTGGCACTGTGGACTAACATCTGTGACACCCGTGACCTAACACCTGTGAGACTGTGGACCTAATGTGTGACACCATTTATTTTATTTATTTCAGGTACTTATATAGCTCCATCCATTTACGCAGCACTTTACATATATATTGTACATTCACATCAGTCCCTAACCATCAAGTGTTGTACAATCTAAGGTCCCTAACTCACATTTATACATACACATACTAGGACCAATTTAGACAGGAGCCAATTCACCTACCAGCATGTCTTTGGAGTGTGGGAGGAAACCGGATGGATCTAATATGTGTGACACAATGGACCTAACACCTATGACATCATGGACCTAATATGTGTGACATCGTGGACCTAAAACCTGTGACACTGTGGACCTAATATGTGTAACACCATGGACCTAACACCTGTGACACCGTGGATCCAACACGTGTGACACCATGGACCTAATATGGCCACCAGAAGATACGCACAGAAGCGCGTTGCAGAGATGTGAACAGCGCCAATAATGGGATTCTTCTTGTGGTGCGACAAGGAGTCTTAGCACTGGCTGTCCGCTGTCCCTACCATGGCCTCCTCCCCCACCCCACAACAAGCCACAGTGGAGGATGGGACCACGGTGAGGAATGGGACCACGGCTAGGAGGGCGGTATACGACACACCCGGTGTATATGAACCTCAGAGCTCATCACCAGGCCTGGGCCTGACCTCTCTTCTCTTAGGACACTGTATGGGGGTCAGGGACAGGTCCTCTTTGTACATTGATGAGGATGCCTGTTGAACACCCATATGAAGTATAGCAAAGACCTGGCCAGTCTCACTCCCAAAGCTGCAGTCCATCCACCACAAAAACCCCTTTCCTCTCCCTCTCACCTGAATATTCGTCTCTTTGCCTTTTAACGCTTTCACTGTGAGCTGCATCTCCGGGTCCAGCCGGGATCACCATAGAGTCAGCCGAGCGGGCTAGAGCGGCTCCCACAGCTCACTGCTTGAAGTCCTCCAAGATGTCAGCTGGTCACATGGAGCTACGGCAACTCCTGGAGAACAATATGGGCGGAGCGGAATGTACACAAGCTCCAGACACTGGCTGCACCTCCAGCTCCCAGACCTCACCTCCCTGTTGTGAGAGCTATTGCCGAACCTGAACACCAGAGGGCGCTGCTGGATTTAAAGTGCACCTGAGCGCGCAGACAGCTCTGTAACCTCTTCACTTCCGGGGAGATTTATACATTTCCTGCACACATGCTCCAGTCAGGTACAGACCCTAGAAATCATGTCATTTCTGAAAGCAGAGGCCATGTAGGATATAAGATGATAGTTGCACATTTTTATGTTGCATGATATGTACGCAACTGTTTCTCAGTTTTTGGAAAACAATCCATTGACATTGATTTTGTCACACACAGGCACAATATAGTCCCCAATGTTTGTACAACATAAAACAGGAGGTTATATTGAGTAAAAGGATATGAAAAGCCTCACAACAGCATGTGCCTGCAACACAGCAGAAAATGACAGCACCCCAAAACATCAATAGGTGGCACTTTAACTTTTCCACACACCCTGGGAACTGTCGTTACCCCCCACGTGACCCCATCATATTTCCAGGGCTCAGCACATCCATCGGCATACAAGGGATCAGCATGGCAGGGTCCAGTAGGTAGAAGTATGGAGATCAGTGAATGTCCGGTCCTGGAGTCACTTTTCCCAGCCAGAAAGTTGGGGAAAAAGCTGATGAAGCACATTTTGCATTCCATTACTTTCTATGGAGGGCAGGTGAGACATCAGGGGTGTGAAAGGTGTCTCATTAACCATTTCAATATGGGGCAATTTTACACCTTCCTGCCCAGGCCAGTTTTCACGTTTCAGCGCTCTCACACTTTGAATGACAATTGCGCGGTCATACAACATTGTACCCAAACTAAAATTTTATCATTTTCTTCACACAACTAGAGCTTTCTTTTGGTGGTATTTAATCACCGCTGGGGTTTTTATTTTTTGCTAAATTAACAAAAAAAAGACCGAAAATTTTGAAAAAAAAACACGTTTTTCTTTGTTTCTGTTATAAAAGTTTACAAATAAATAATTGTTCTTCATAAATTTAGGCCGAGATGTATTCTGCTACATGTCTTTGGTGAAAATAACCCAAATTAGGATGTATTTTTTAGTTTGTAGGAAAGTTATAGAGTTCAAAAACTATGTTATATATCTGAATATTGATCAATCCTGAAGTACTGACAGCCAATCTAATTTCTTTAGGTCCAAGAATGTCAGAACAGTACAGATATCCCCCAAATGACCCCTTTTTGCAAAGTAGACAGTCCAACATACTTCATAAGAGGCATGGCGTGTTTTTTGAAGTTGTATTTTTTTTGTCATAATTTTTCGGAAAATTAAAAAAATTAAACTATTTTCACTATTTTTTTTTTTTTACATACTGTCACCAGTGCAGTACAGCGTCATCATATAACTGGCATGGCGGTGAACAGGGACACTGACTGGTGACAGTATGAAAAAAAAAAAATATATATATTTTTTTTTTTTTTTTTTTTAATTTTTTATTACATTTTTTTTTTTTTCATATTTTACTATGACCAAAGTAGTACAATGTTACCATAGTAACATTGTACTACTTTGGGGAAGTGATCAGTTTTTTTTTTGTTTTTTTTTGCACAATTTGCTTATAGCAAAGAATTACTTTGCTATAAGCAAGCATTTACCAGAATGAAATCATTCATTCAGGTTTGTTTTTTTTTTTTTTTGTGCTTAGCTGTGATTTGGCCACAGCTAATCACATGACATGTGCATGTGACCTGCTGTGACCACTCACAGCTAGGCACTAGTATACAATGGATGACATGAATGAAGCCATCCATTGTATACAACTGTCATGTGACCTGCTGTGATTGGTCGCAGCAGGTCACATGGTACCGGCAACGGGGGGGGTGGTTTTACTCAGATCTGTCATCGGCCGTGTCCGAGGTACACGGCCGGTGACAGATCGTGCTGCTGCGCGGCTCTGCAAACGCGAGAACTGCGCATGTGTGGGAGACACGCCAAATGACGTGCACCCGGAAAGGTGAAGCGTTTTTGCTGCCGCCAAACGGCTATAGGCCGGGCGGCTAATGGTTAAAGAGAACCTGTCACCAAAAATGCATCACAGGGGGACTTTTTGTGATGAAAAAAAAGTTTAGTAAAAAATGTAAGTTATACCCAAGTATTTATTTCCCCCAAAAACATTTTTTTAACCCCCCTCTTAATATTATTTATTTATTTCAGGTACTTATATAGCACCATCAATTTACACAGCACTTCACATCAGTCCTTAATCCTCAATTGGCGTACAATCCGTCACCCAAACCGTACTCTCCACTACTACAACCTCATGCTCTCTAGTTCCCTTGTCCTCTCCTCCCATGCTCGTCTTCAGGACTTCTCCAGAGCTTACCCCATCCTCTGGATCTCTGTACCCCAATTTATCAGACTATCGCCTACTCTGCTCACTTTTATGCGATCTCTGAAAACCTATCTCTTCAGGGGAGCCTATCCTGCCCTCAGTTAATAATGGAATCTTCTACTCCTACCAGTCCATCCCCCACAGTTACTACCTTTTGTACCACTAGCCCCTCCCTAACCCTCCTGCATTGAACTGTATTGTTGCTGTATTGTCTCCCGTTATATTGTAAAGTGCTGAGCAAACTGTTGGCGCTATATAAATCCTGTATAATAAGAATAGTAATCTAAGGTCTCTAACCTATATATACTAGGGCCAATTTAGACAGGATCCAATTAACCTAACAGCATGTCTTTTGAGTGTGGGAGGAAGCTGGAGTACCCGGAGGAAACCCATGCAGGCACAGGGAGAACATGCAAACTCCAGGCAGGTGGTGCTGTGGTTGGGATTCGAACCAACGACCCTAGTACTGCCAGGCGGAACTGCTAACCATTTAGCACTGTGCTGCCCATAAATAAATGTAGAAACATAAATGCACACGCTGGGGGTGATTACGCATGAAAATGTTTGCATTACACATGTTACATATTACCACGCACGGTGGAGTGAGATAAATAATTCTATGCCCATTCTTCACAGGTAACTCTAACCTGATGACCGGTAGGGGTTTTTAAAGTGTTGTCTATTGTCCATGAAATAGGCGGCTGTTTTGCACATGCAATTTTAAGGTTTGACACACTGGGTATCTATCGGTGCAACATCTAGGGTGTCTGCTTTCTGAAAATATGTAATATTTGGTGGTTTTAAGTAATTTTCAGGCCAAAAATAATTTTTATATATACAAAAAGTGCAAAACCGGCTCTGGCAGGGATAAATGCCTTTCCAGATTAAACCATAAATGAGGGACCTAGAATTATTTCTTCTACTGCAGTGTGTGTGGTGATATCCAATACAGTTGCAAGAAAAAGTATGTGAACCCCTTGGGATTATGTGGAGTTTTGCATGAATTGGGCATAAAATGTGCTCTGAACATCATCTAAGTCACAACAATAGAAGAACACAGTCTGCTGAACATAATATACTACACAAACATTAGATGTTGCCATGGTTTAATTGCACATAACATGTAAACAGTCACAGTGCAGGGAGGAAAAAGTATGTGAGACCCTAGCTTAATGACTTCTCCCAGAGCTAATTGGAGCCAGGAGTGAGCCAACCTTGACTCCAATCAGTGTGATGATATTGGATGTGTTGCTGACAGCTGTCCTGCCCTTAAAAAAACACACACCTGTTTTGGGTTTACTGGTTTCAAGAAGCACTGTCTGATGTGAACCATGCCTCGCAGGAAAGAGCTCTCAGAAGACCTACGATCAAGAATTGTTGACTTGCATGAAGCTGGAAAGGGTTACAAAAGTATCTCCAAAAGCCTTGATGTTCATGTGTCCACGGTAAGACAGACTGTCTACAAATGGAGAAAGTTTAGCACTGTTGCTACTCTCCCTAGGTGTGGTCGTCCTGTATAAATGACTGCAAGAGCACAGCGCAGAATGCTGCATGAGGTAAAGAAGAATCCCAGAGTGTCAGCTAAAGACCTACAGAAATCTCTGGCACATGCTAACATTTTTGTTGACACATCTACAATAAGGAAAACATTAAACAAGAATGGAGTTCATGGGAGGACACCACGGAGGAAGCCATTGCTGTCCAAAAAGAATATTGCAGCACGTTTGAAGTTTGCAAAAGAGCACCTGGATGTTCCACAGCACTACTGGCAAAATATACTGTGGACAGATGAAACCAAGATTGAGTTGTTTGGGAAGAACACACAACACTATGTGCGGAGTAAAAAAGGCACAGCACACCAACATCAAAACCTCATCCCCACTGTAAAACATGGCGGAGGGAGCATCATGGTTTGGGGCTGCTTTGCTGCCTCAGGGCCTGGACGGATTGTTGTCATTGATGGGAAAATGAATTCCAGAGTTTATCAAGACATTTTGCAGGAAACCATCTGCCCGCCAACTGAAGCTCCGCAGAGGATGGGTGATGCAACAGGACAATGACCCAAAGCATACAAGTAAATTCAACAAAACAATGGCTGCAACAGCACAAAATACGCCTTCTGGAGTGGCCCAGTCAGAGTCCTGACCTCAACCCCGTTGAAATGCTGTGGCATGACCTTAAGAGAGCGATTCACACCAGACATCCCAAGAATATTGCTACACTGAAACAGTTTTGTGAAGAGGAGTGGTCCAAAATTACTCCAGATCGTTGTGCAGGTCTGATCTGCAACTACAGGAAACGTTTGGTTGAGGTTATTGCTGCCAAAGGAGGGTCAACCAGTTATTAAGTCCAAAGGTCACATACTTTTTCCTCCCTGCACTGTGAATGTTTACATGTTATGTGCAATTAAACCATGGCAACATCTAATGTTTGTGTAGTATTATGTTCAGCAGACTGTGTTCTT